CAAATATTTTTGTTTTTTTGTTTTTTTTTTGATTCCAGATAAAACTCACAATGATTTACTTTGAGAATAATCGAGAGGGTTAGGGGGACACACACACACACGTAAATATTCTATTCAATATATTTATGTATTTTTATTTTATAACGATTTATTATATAGGTGATTATTGTTATTTAGTGAATTTTAGAGAATTGTTTTTAGATCAATGATAATAAATTCAATGTTTCATTACGGTTAACACACCTAACGCGAAATTGCAGTAAGTGTATGAGTAATTTTTATTTTGTTTTGTTTTTTGTTTACTAATTAGATGTAATTAAAAGATGTTGTAGAATTCTAAAGTTCATCGGTTTTGTATATATATATATATATATAATAGTTTGTAATATTAGTTTAACATCAGCAAGGACAAAAATAACGAGGAAAGTATGCTAACGATGGTAAAAGATACGCAGGAAGTATATTCTTGCAATAGATAGAATATTTTAACGTTATACCAAGTACGGATAATTCATTATCTTTCTTTTTCTTACATATTTTTTCCTTGCCCTTCTCTCTCTCTCTCTCTCTCTATCTCTATTTATCTTCTTTTTCGTTTACAAGTAACTAATAATTATTATTAAATTGCCTCGGGGGGTCAAACGTATATTCAGCGTGAGCAAACTTGACACGAATCCTCGTTGTTGTATAGATGCACGCGTCATTTTCATACATTATTTCGTGAAAATTGTTTTTTTTTTTTTAAACGCTTATCTTCTTTCAAAGTTTAATTGTTCAACGAATTTGAAGAACCATTTAGGATATGATAAATATATTACTTTGTTAAAAAAAAAAAAAGAAGAATGCAAATAAAGACAAACGTAAATTCGAATAATTTTCGATATCGAATTAATGAAATTAAATTGTTCGATTTAATTTCAATTGTGTGTTGACAATTTAGATAATATTTTGGTAAAAGAACAAAAATGTACAGTTATCGAATTTTTCTTTACACTTGGAACTAAACTATAGGTCTACTTTCGAAGTTTTTCCTGAACTGGTAAGGTTTCAGAACACGCGTGAACGTTCCTCGAGGGCATGACACTGGTGGATATCGTCGAAGTAGAGAAAATTATATTTCGCTTGTCGTCGACTTCGCAAGAGAAACACGATAAGCTTGGACAACATGCGGTCATTACTTAGTCCTCTTTAATGAATCAATTTATTGGCGCACATAATTATTACACCGAGAGAGAGAGAGAGAGAGAGAGAGGGAGAGGGAGAACTGGTATAAGTTACTTGGCTCATACATATAACAACAATTTATCTTGGTTTCACGAACGAGTCAGAGAAGTAGTATGCTTCTTTTACATATATATATATATATATTTATTTATTTATTAATATTATAATATTAGGAAATAAAATTAAGCATTTTTTTTGGCAGTAGTTTTACAAAATAAAATATTGATATGTTATATAAATTGATGAACATTAAAAAACTGAAAAACTTGAATAATCTCGCTTATAATTTCATTAATTATAATTATATATTTATTATCATATAATATTGTGTTTATATATTCATTTTTGTTATACCTATTATCTAACAATAACTTGTCGTTGTTTTAGATTTCACTACATGTATGTTACTACATTTTCTTAACTATTTAAGATTCAACGAACACAATCTATTTCGTAACGAGCATAGAAACACGAAACGTTTAAGAGATTTATTTCGTTAAGATAATACATTTCGATTTAATCATAATCGAATGTAAAATGTATCTACATATATATATGTATATTATTGAATGAATTTCTATCGATCATATTTCTCATAATTCAATATTCAATTATATTATAAATGTATATAATATTGCATAGAATACGGATGAGTGATTCGTTCGTAAACAAAATAAAATAAAATAATATAACATTGATTTCTAGAAAAATGTTAAAAGATGCAACTAACTTGTTGAAAATACGTTCGAATACGTGGGAGAAAGTGTTGGTTAAAAAAAAAAAAAGTAAGAACAGAATAATAAAGGACAATAAAATACTTTTGATTTTTATGGGGATTCTTAGCTCGCGCGTGCGAAATAACAATTTAATATTATTCTATTTTGTTGTTGGTGTTGTGTTGAATAATTTCAAGACATATGTCATTCCTCCTTTCCCTACCTCCTTCCGTACTCTCCCACTACCTCCCACCCCCCCCCATGAGATTTATTCGGCACGCGTCGAATCGAATTAACGGATTGATCGTCGATGACTTCCGTGATATTCAGGAACGTAATCGGTGGTGAAACGTTAGCGAAAAACGGTCGCCGTGTGCCGGTGGTACTTCATTAATATTTCATTTGGTTGCTTATCGTTACGAAGCCGCAACGCACGAGGGAACCCTTAGGGCATCGTTACTCCCTCTAAGTAAGCGCACTATAGTGCGCACGCGCACACGTCTCTTAAAAGAGGATAGGATATTTAGCCGGAGGTAAGAAGAGTGGCCGGGAACAACGCGAATAACAAATGTGTCTTTTATCGAAATTTCTTTCTAGAAAATAATATAAAAAAAGAAAACAAAAAAAAAGAAAAGATGAAAATAATAATAAGAAAACATAATATTGACAAAATTGATTAGAATGTTAATGACACGTTTTCAATTTTTGTGAATACGAGTAACGAATGTGTGTGTTTGTTTTATCGAAATTTTTTTTTCTAAAAAAAATAAAACCCCCAACGAAAATAGGATAATAATAAATAAAATGATTCTAATGAAAATAATATGTTTGAATTATTGAGAACACGAGTAACGAATGTGTGTTTGTTTTTTATCGCGTAATTTTTGTTAATAAAAATAAAACGATATAGAAAATAATAGACAAATTTTGTTAGAATTGAAATTGACAATTTAAATCTTTGGTTAGATAAAATACGATCTGCAAGAGATCCTTGTTATAAATTATATCGATCAATTAGAATACCATCGTGCGATACGAATACAATAATTTATATAATTCATTGTATATAACGGTACATTCAATTGACCTCGTTTCCGGTCCATTTCAATTGTCGTAATAAAACGTTGACTCGTTTGTAATTGATTGTCCAATCGGATCGAAGTAAAGGAGGAGAATTTTGACAAAGACAAGGACGATCTTATGTTTTCATAGTCACAGTCTTATATTATTATTTTTAGAAACCTGACGAGATTAATTATTACAAAATAAAATAATCAAACGAGACGTTTATGATCGAAATGATAAAAAAATTAGATATCTGCGTTATGCATCTGATTCGATAAAAAAAAAAGAATATCCTGCATGTTTCGAAATGTATCTCAAATTTTTTTATGCAAATTGTTAACACTAGATTTACGAACTGTGTCAATATAACTCATTAAAAATGTCATTACTGTATAATAATATAACTTAAATATTATTTTACGTAACGAAATATTCCTTCCCTCTATTGAACTACATACTTACATTCAAACAAATATTAGTAAATCATAAAAAAACTAACGAACAACAAAACATTCGTAAATCTAGTGTTAAACAAATAAGAAATTATATGGAAAGGCATGGACCACTAGAAGAAATCTTGGCGGTTGAATTATTAGAGAATCAACGGGGGTTGTTCGTTCGAGAATTGAAGAACGAAAGGAAGAAAGGGGAAAATAAAAAAAAAATAAGAAGAAGAAGAAGAAGAGAAAAAGGAGGAGGAGGAGAAATGGGTGGTAAGGAAGAAAGAAAGAAAGAGCGTGGGTAACGGAAAGGAAAGATGGGTTGGGGGTGAGGAAGAATAGCCACAGGTCAGGTTGGAAAGGAGATAGAAAGAGAAGGTTTAAAAGGAGAGGAGAGGAGAGGAGAGGAGAAGAAAAGGAAGAGAAAGAGAAAGAGAAAGAGAAGAACACGGTATGGTGTTGCCTAAGGCATTGCAGAGCGCATCGTCTCGTTGGTTAGCCTCAGGGTAACGTAGTTTCTCTTTCTCTCTCTTCTCATAACCTTCCAGCATAGTGAGGAGGTGGTGGTGGTGGTGGTGGAGGAGGAGGAAGAAGAGGAAGAAGAGAAGATCGCCGCTATCTCTCCTCGTTTCCGTGCCGGAGGCATGGCGACCGTGGCTCCCCACCGCACTCGCGATGGAATACACACCTCCACGTTTACCCTCAGGTTATTCTTCCTTCCATAGTTAGAGGTAGAGGGGTACAGGGGTAAGGGGGTAGCAGAGGGAAGAGAGACTGCATGATTCTGCTGCCGCTTCTTGGCCTCCGGGATAACCGAACGTCCTCTTCTTTTATGTACGTACACGAACTTCCCACACATACACACACACATACTTATGTATATATATATATATATATATATATAGTTATTCAAGATATATATATATATACGAGCTATCGGCGCGTTCGACTGCATTGCCTTGGGTGATCTTTCTCCTCGTTTTCTTCTTCTTCTTCTTCTTCTTCTTGTTCTTTTTCAATCTTTTTCTCTTTTACTTTCTCTTCTTTTTCATCTCTCCTTCGTTTTCTTACTTGCTGCTCTCTTTTATCTCAGGTTACTCCCGTTTCTGTTCTTCTTACCTTTCTCGTTCTCGAATCTTTCTCTTTCTCTCTTCGTTTTGTTCCTCTTCTTTTTATTTTTATTATAATAGTTTTGTGTGTATACTTATCTGTCGTTGTTGTTGTTGTTGGTGGTGTTGTATTTTATTTTTCATTCATCTATGGTATAATATTTCAAGTTTCGAGGATTTCTTCATAGTTCACTAGGAGTCAAGTTTAACGAAGGAAATTGTTTTTCTTTGATTATCACACATGTATATATATATATATATATATATAATTTTCTATAATAATAACGGATAGATAATGATCGCGTTTGCTATTCTTGTCTTATGAAGGTTTTTTTTTCTTTTTACGGGTTATGTAACCGATGACAATTATTTTACGTGGATTCCGAGATTGATTGATTAGGCTGATTGGATAGTATATATGCGTTTCGGTGTGAGGTATCATTATATTTTATTAACGTTATTTATTTAACATTTTATTTTGTTTTTCTTCTAACAAACATTTTTATCTCTAACAATGATATTATTTAAATATAAATATAAAATAATAGATATATATTGGTTGGAGAAAAGAGAGAGAAAGAAAAAAAAACGTGTTGATTTGGAAGAGACCCATTTAAACGAACGAGTCACGCAAAAATGACTCGTTGTAAATCGAAATCCCGTTATAATTGTAAAACCAGTCGGACTCGCTTTCATTTTGGCACACGATCGTGAACACGGCACGCGTCTCTCTGAATTTAACACGGAATTTCTTTCTTTAAGTGTATATACATATGTGCATATGTGTGTATGTGTCAGTTTATGTGTATGTGTTATAATGGTTATGCGTTTGTTGTGTACGAACCAATTACGAAAACTTTCAATTTCCCTTAGGTATTATTATTTAATTACATATATGTGTGTGTGTTCGTATAATTACGTTCCAAGTGACCTGTTACAGATCGGCAGATGAAAAAAAGATAAGCCTATGGGATCGTTTCTCTTTTAGATTTGTTTCTTCTTATTATGTATGAGATTTAAACTAAAATACAACACCGTTTATTTTTCGGACAATCGATAGCTTCCTTTACCCAAAGATTGTCGTTGCAAGCGTTCATACAAGTTCCATAAAAATGATTACAATGCGTTTTGTATTCGGATTTAACTGTAATAAAATATATGAAATTATTATATTTATCAAGGATATATATATATATGATATACTTGTTAAATGATAAGAATAATAGTTGAAAAAATTTGTATATTTACCTATACTGCAACATTTATTGCCATTGTCACAAGATCCACCTTTTACCGTACTTTCGCATTTTTCCTCAGGCAAACAATTTTCCGGTGGACAATATTCCTGAGCTGTAAATAAATTCATTTCATTTCATTTCTTTTTCTTTTCTTTTCTTTTTTCACATGTCACATATCATTCGAAACGTTGTTTCAATTGTTTCAAATAAGGATTCTAAAGTTTTCTTATAATATCTTTTAAACGAAAAAAACGGGGTATATATCGTCAATTGGAAATTGAAAATTGCACGCGAAAATTGAGAACGATATCGGAGAGGTTGTGACGAGGATGAAGAAAAGCGTAGAAAGGGAAGAAGGGTAACGGGAGATGAAAGTTTCTCGTTACCGGGAAAAAAAATTTCAATTTCTAGCGAATATAAGAAGATACGAAAAGAAAGAAAGAAAGAATGAATGAGAGAGAGAGAGAGTGAGAGAAAAAGAAGAAATAAAAAGATTCTGTCGTTTCAAAATTAGTAATAAACAAAAAGTGACTTTTTTTTCTCCATTATTCATATTGTTTGAAAAACGATAATAATATGAAATACCGAAACATTATTTGTTACATATACACATCAATAAAAAATACTACTGAAATATACATATAATAATATAAAGTATCACTCTCGTAATAGAAATTGAAATGGTTCGATAACAAATGAAGAAATATGAAACCGTCTCTCACTCGATCATTCAATATAATATTTAAAAGGATCACATTTGTCATGATAATATAAATAAATGAAGGAGATAGATATTAATTTATACGTTTTAAATAAAATAATGAAACATACCTATGTCAAATGAAAAAGCATGTTAGTACATTATTGACCAAACAACATTATATTACTGTTTGCATACGAAAGTAACTTATACGAATTTTTTTAAATAGAGAAAATTGTTAACTATGTATTACATTATACGTTGACTGCTAAATCAATATTATTTCAGCCGTGTAAAAGTATTAAAATGTTATCTATCAATTACAAATATCCTCTTGTTTGTATATAACCAACTTATGTAATTATCAAAATAGAAAATAGTATAAGTTTGTATTACAATTAGAGTTCCGTACGATATTTTCCTGTTGTCATTAATATATTCATAGAAAAAAACATCGTACGAACTTATTAATTAACTTAATCAAATTATTTTGATTATATTTCATAATTAGTACTAATACATATTTCTCTCTAATAATATTTTATTTGAATTATTATTATTATTATTATTAATATATATCTATATCATGAAAAATGCATTAAGGTTTGTGTATATTAATTTGACGTGTGAGAAATGTGTTAATACGAGAAATAAATGGACAATTATTTACCTGTTGTTAGATGTACTACAGCAACTATCAGGATCAAAAGAAGAGTTAATCGGAAATTGTAAGACTTCATTTTGAGTGTTGCGTACGAGTAGTGTGTCACACTCTGGCAGTCAACGTTTTAATGATCTCGCTTTCCCACCTCATGGGACTATATAAACGTATAAGATAACTGACTATCGCATACTACACGCGCGCGCATCAACGTTCCAATGAAAAAGTGAAAGAGTGACTGAGATAGAAATAAGGAAAGAGAAAGAACATACATACATATATAATACACACACACACATCTGTTTGACGCTTTCGTATTTTATTATCTCTTACTTTTTCCTACTCTCTCTCTCTCTGTCTTTTTCTTTCTCTTTTTATCTTTATCTATATCTCTGTCAATATTTTTATATCTATTCTTCTTATAATATCTTCTTCTCGTTAAAACATTATCATATATTATAATCGTTTTTTAATCATTGTAAAAGCAAAGAATAATGCATTGATCTCTGTATGCAAGTATAGTATACTTTAGTATCTTTTAGATTATTGTGTACGATAATAATTCTACGATTGTTTGAGATTTTTATTCTTCTTTTTTTTTATTTTACGATTATTTTTCGAAAATTTAATTCAAATTTCTAAACGCACACGTTTCACTGTAATTCGACAAATTTATTATTTACGATTAATTTGTTATTATTTGTGTTGTGAACATTTTTCTTGTTCTTTTATTTTTATCTTTCTCACCCGTGACACATGTCTTATTTTCGAGTTTGTTCAAATCAAGTTAATTCGGTATGAAGATTTGAAACGATTGTGCTATATCCATTTTTATAGGATTGTTAATAGTTTTATTATTTATATTTTATTTTATGATTAAATTCTTAGCTTCGGTATTCTTTGATGTTCAACCTTCATGATGCTCGCGATTCAACATTTTCTTTATCTTTTTTTTTTTTTTTTTTTATATGGGGTTTCTATATTAATATTTATCTTTATCTTATTTGAGATTATAAAATGAATATAAACGTACGATAAAATTATTTCCAAGTAAAAAAAAAATGAAAAGATTAAATAATTATTTTTTGTTATAAATCAGATGTGTGTCTTAGAGGTTGTCTTTTTATCCAGTGTTTATCTATACGGATTACGATAATTTCTTAGAATGATTATTATTTATTACTTTGCCAAAATAAAAAGCAAACATTTTAGATAATTTTTTTCGGTAAAGAAAAAAAAAAAAACAAGAAAAAATTCAATAAGGAAATCTCTGATAGAAGAAGTATATTCTTGAAACGGGGTTTTTCACCGTAGTTTAAAACAGATAATACTTATTTGGAATACTGATGCGTGCATATAGACACATAAATGAGTCATAGAAGTGTACAAGGTAAAGAGAAAATGGGTAATTTACCGATGTCAGTTGTTGTTCTTCCTGTTGTTGATGATGACGATGGAAACAATTTATTTGGATATTTTAGTTTGCGCCATTTAAAATATGTAATATCAAGTCTGATGCATCATATAATTGCATACGATAACATACGACATTATATTCTTCGTTATTAGTTTTATCATTAATTTTCTGACTAAAGTTTTGATAAGAATATGGACGATAAATGAGCATAAAATGACTTCTTGCACATGTGTTCAATTATGCGTTTTATTATTTAGATAGAGATAAGTGCACACATATTTATTTGTCCGAAGTATATGGCAAATAAAAAACAAACGAATAGATATCAAAGTAGAGGTCAGTTAGTAATAAAAAGTAAAGGTCAAAGTTAAATGATTAATAAAAAAAATCACGCGATGTGTTATCTTCTTTTTTTATTTTCTTTCTTTCTTTTTTTTTTTATTTTTATTTCCTTTTTCGATAGAGAAATTATTCGGTATCTATTTTTTTTTTCTTTTTTTTTTTTTTTTT